TATAAGCATATCATATTAAGTTAAGAAAATAACTCTAAAATTACTTTTAGAGTAAAAATATTCTAAATTGGATAGTGATAAATATGTGTCTCATATTTAATTATGTTTATGATGTATATAAATTATTTGAAAATTTAAAGTGTATTGTGTGAAGTGAGTAATCAATGAAAAACATGGTAATTTAGAGTGGTTTTTCGTTTTTTCACAAAAATATTTAAAATAATATTTTTTGTGGCTGCATTAAATGCGCATCCAAAAAGTCAAATAATAATTATTATTTTTTTACATTCATCCCCTCTTTCCATACCAAATTCTAGTAATTTATAAATAAATAATAATAAATTATTAAATAAAATAATTAAAAAAAATACAAAATAAGACTAAAATAACAGAAGGGGGCATTGTGTGGCAACTCTGGGGCAACCATATTCATTTTTATTTTATTTAGGGATGTAAATGGATATTTATGGGGGCAGATACTATGATATCCGTATCTGCCCCGTTAGATAAATATGATATCCATATCCGCCTCATATCCATGTGGATATCTGTTAAGCGGGTAATCCACGAGTTTTATGGTATCCACATATATTTACAGATATCCATGGATAATATTTTTTTTTATAAAAATTATTTTTTAAGAAAATTATTTTTAACTTATTTTAAAGACACAAAAATTTATTATCACATAACATCCATACAAAATATTCGACAGAGGAATGATGGAAGATCAGACGACAGAGGAGTAGAAATGGAGACACTAGTTCGACAAAGGAATGACGATATTAGTTGGTTGGACTGTGAAATTGATGAAGTGAGGTATGAAGTATCGAAGAGTTTAAATTTGAAATGACAAATAGAATTTGAATGAAAAGTGAAAGGTTTTCTTAAAAGAATTAAAAAATAAAAAAAAAAGTATAAGAAGACTAATTTTTTTAGAAGATGCAAAGATAAAGTATAATAAACTAATGATATTTAAATAATTTTTATAATTTATAAACGGATATGGATATCCGCGGGTATGGATATTATTAAACCCATATCCATATCCATTAACAAACGGGTATTTAAATATCCATTTATTTTATCCATGGATATCCATTAAGCTACCAGCCCTATATCCGTGGCAGATTTTATCCACGGATATCCGCGGGTATGGATATTTTTGCCATTCCTAATTTTACCAATTCAACATTCAATTTTTAATTGGTACTGAGACCAAATGAGGGTTGATTTGAATAAAAATGGAGAGTTAATTTTTAAAATTTTGCAAGTCCACTCCTACACTGATAGTCGTATGCTATAATTAAAAAATAAAATTAACAAATAAAATAAATTGAGTATTAAACTTTTCTTAGGAAGAGAAAAAAAATATTTTTGTTCTAAGGAATATGAATAATTATAAGAAGGTAAATAAAAAAAAAAATAATTTAATATTTATTAGTGTATATATCAATAGGTAAACTAAAAATCATATATAAGAATATCGAAAAATCAATTACAATATTAAGTAATAATTTAACATTTATTTTTTGTATACAACTTAATACATATTTATTAATTTTTTTTTTATAAAAATTCATAAATTTAGGTATAAATTTATTATAATACGTGAGTTTTAATTGTATTATAAATATATTTTAAATTAAATATTCATTTGGTTCTTAAAATATCACATTCAAGCTGGGCATCATGATTCTTCTCATGTCCATCTAATCCAAATATTCAAACATAAATTTTTGACAAAGCATGGTTTTTTCGAAGGCCTCTACCATTTTTTATGTCCTATCATTATACTTTTATTTATTTACATTTAAATATACCTGATAAATAAATAAATAATCCATGACAAACATGAACGGAGTACTTTAGTAAAATAAAAAATGTTTCAACTTCTGAATTGTTTGACTTTGTAGCTATTACGATGTGACATTATTTTCAATTCTAATTAAAATATTAGATATTTGTGAATCTTTTATATTTTACATTTTCAAAATGGAAGATGACAAACCCTTTAACCTTCAAATATAAGAGAGTTACATGTAAAATATTGCTTTCTAGAAACATATATATGCATAATTTTTTATTTATTGATGTTAAAGATCTCTATAGTTACTATGTGTTTGGCTAACCACATTTCATTCTAACAAAATTTATATTTAGAAACATATTTGTATCAAATATGAACATAAACTAAAATGTTTTGTGTGAGTTTATGGACACCTTATGAAGTTTATTATTCTTTAAAAGTCATGAGTATACAAAACAAACTCTGCTAGATAAAATTCAAGTTGATAATAATAATAGGATGGTATATTACTTGGACCTAGTATGAAAAAAATTTATTAAGGAATTCAAACATTTAAATACAACATTTTAAAGAGAAAAGTAGGTCTCAAAGGTAATAAAGAGAAAAGTAGGTCTCAAAGATGATCAGGTACAAATTATCTTTTCTGATGAAATATTCCCTATGAACCTGATTAACCATAGCTAATCTGAAATGTGGAAATCTAGTCCAACCATAAGGCATTGTGGTTGAATTTGAAACATCTATATATGTTCTGCAGTGTTCCATTCGAAAAGATAGTATCCGCCTACTCATTTCAATCAACACGTACATAATAATAAAACATTGAGAGCCAGAACATCAATTTATACACCAAAAAATTGTTCAAACATCTACTATTGCACTATTGTATTTTCATATTATCATCAATGGCTACCTAGTTTCCAACCCATAATAAATGATTACTTTCGAGAATATATTAATATGTGATGATTACATAATTACCACATTCTCTTCAATTCTTTTGTTTGAATCCAAACATAGTAAAAACTGTTAGAGATGATGAACAATAAAAGTAAAATAAAGATCCTTGATTAATCATGAAAATACAAATCATGTGAACCAAAATTTGAAAAATAACTTCCATAATCATAGATAAAAACATACTACATTTTGATAAACATATGCAAAAATAAATAATATTATTCATACTTCCTATAGCAGTGGTTTATATTTTAATCCTAGTAAAAATATATATTTTTTGTTTTAGTCCTTACAAATATAACTCCCTGCAAAATTTATTCATATTACTGAAAAAACGTAATACCTTTCTGTTGATTCTTTCTCATTCGTGTTCTATTCTTTATTTTTCTTTCTGTTCATTCTTTCCTATCCATTTTCTATTCTCCCATATTCTGTAAGCAACAACTCATTGGGGTGATGATTAACTGAAGGTATTGACGTTCATTGCAAAACCAACAGAAATAAGAAGTTATTTCAAGAAGAAAATATAACCATTATATATGCCTAAAAAGCAACATTACACTTTGACCGTGACATACATCCTCCAAGTTCCATAGTATTATGTCTATGTCATAACCAAGGAGAAATAGGTTTAACAATGAAAAAATAACTCATAACAATATCACTAACACATCTTAGTATCTGTATACAGAGATACAGTCAACCACCACTATGAATGTCAAAACTATGGTTTTATCTTGTCAGTTATTCATTGAGGTATGGAGTGTTTAAACCAAAACAGTTAAGTAATCACAACTAATTCCATAAACACAAAGAAAAATAAAACATCTCCAGCAGTTAGAAGCCAAAAGAGAAGAAAAAAAGATATCAGCGTCAAAATGTTCAAGCTTCAAACAGTTTCCACAAATAAACATTTAATCACCCTGATTGCACTTTGAAGGACAACAATCTTAACCATGACTATCTAACTTTAACCATGTCATTATTACTTCAAATATCAATATATCTACTTGTATTCTCATTAAACAAAGGTAACTTCTGAAAAGTCTGTAATTACACTAAAAAGGCATACTACAATATAAGAACCATATAATTCAAAAGGTAACAAAACCACGACACACGAAACTGCCCATTTCATTTTTTATGCCCCAGATTATATTATAGAAAGGTGGTTTCCTTCATGACAAAAAGAGGACTTCGGTTTGCTGATAACAAACAACCTATGTTTATACCCCAAAAGGATTTCTGCATAATCGAATTTTCAATTTATGAGGACTCAGTAAAATGTAGCCTGACTCTACTATTATAACACGCCAATGTCCAGCCTATGATTATCACCTCTCACATAGATATTCATTGGAAAAAGATAACTTCTAAAAATGAGATGTATTTTGCCGCAAATTGCATCATAATTCTATTAAAAAATAAATACCTGAAGGAGTTTATCACTAATTTTGACACCGCTGACGAACACCAACAACATTTCTCAAGCAGATGGGGTGGCGTAACTAAAATTTACTTGCCACTATTAGATTTTTTAGTTAGTATACAAAGAAAAGTTGGATAAAGAAAAAACTAAAGATGCATATGTGGATCAGTTACCAAACGAAAAAGGAGGATCAACGACGAAAAATGAAGAACAAACGAAGATATCATAGTTAATTACTATAGTTTTAAAAGTAAACATCACAACACAATTTCATTAACCACAAAAGATAGGTACAAGCCCAACACAATTTCATTAACACAAAAGTTAGAAGAAAAGAAATACCAGTATCAAGACACTTTTAAACCACATTCTCTACATCAGAATCAATTTTTTCATTGACGCACCATCAAACACGGAGCTCTGACTCTCCCCATCTTCTCAACTTCGATTTCAATACTTAGACTCTTGTTTATGATGAATTCTTCGACACTGCCCTTTAAATGAAATTAGAAAACAATTAAACTCACTCGTTCATTCGATGCGCCAATCAATCCGGCATTTGAATTGAAGATACAAAATCAACAGATGATGTTTAAAAGTAATATATTTTTCAACAGAATTTTTCAACTACATCAGAATCTAAGATGAGATTGGTTTACCGCGATAATGCAAATGCAACTATCCCCATTTTGCACCTTGCCCCGCCTCTTTACCGCATTAATTCCTAAACAAAAGGAATTCTTGTTAAAACTTTCATGAATGATTGTATGCTTTGTAGTGCACATTGAGGAAATTAATTTGTCAACTCTTACCTGACATCAAAACACATAACCACAACACAAAAATCTGTTTCGGATCAACTGAAGCATACCTGTTGACGACAACATCAACAATGGCCTGAATTAGGTTTTGATCAGTGAGAAAATGGATAATCTGCATAGCATGCTTGGTGACACTAACAACCTTGGTATTCTTCCCATTGTTCCTCCCATACATCATGAGTGAGTTTGTCAGCCTCACAACAATAGGACATTGAAATTTCCTAAACCTCTTCACAAAGTATCTCCCAACAGTGCGGGGAATTTTGGTTGCCGCAACTCCAATATAGGCACTCAACGAAACATCAGTGAGCTAACACAGCAAAAACAATAAAATTACACCCAACAAACAAAAATCATAATTTTTTAAACTTTAGTAGAGTATATATATTACAAATTACAACATAAAATTATGATGGATCTAAAATAAACTTAGACATCATCAAAGCTCCAGCAGTTCAAGAGTTTGACATCGATATGTGATGGATTTGAAATGACACCAACATGTTCTTGAACAACTTCATCCATGAATGCAAAGAGAATCAAACATTGTTAGTTAATGAAATCGAAAGCAGAATAGGTAGAGAAATGGAAAGAATGTGAAGGAAACAACGAACTTGTGGTGAGAGGATTCATGTTTGGATAAAGAAGCACGGCGGTGGAGGAGCAGAGAGAATGAGTATCTATATGTGATTTTAAGGGTTTAGACAATGATAGTAATAATAAATCATTAAAACTCATGCGTCTCTCCATATTCCAATCCAGATTCCAAGAACTGAACAATGCTTAGTCATGTAAGCAAAGAAAATTAAATAGAAGCAAACCTGAGCACTTACACACAAATTGTTTGACTGAAACACCAAATAGTTTAAAATTACATGACTTCTTGGCTTATTCATATGAGCTCATACAATAGTGACAAATTAGAATTCAAATAAAACACACAAAAAGAAAACACTTTATCAGAACATTTGTGTGCATTTTCTTCAGAATGAATGAATGAAAAAAATCAAATTGTACCTCAACAATGAAGCTATGGATGGTGCTGCCAATCTCAGTTAAAACCTCTAGCTATTTTGGAGTTAATTCGGTTCCATCTATGTCAAAATCAACTTTTCCAATCTTATTAATATTTTGGCGGATGATATTTGCTTCTTGTTCGGAAACATTAGTCTTCAACTCAATCTCCATTCGTCGAAGAACCAACGTTGCTATCTTCCTCCCATGAAAAAACAAACACAAAAAAAATTACAGAATCCTCCATTAACGTTTAGTAGAGCTCAAAACAAAAACGACTACAATGTTTATTCTCATATAACAACGATTTAACAACAAAATGATTCACAACAACAAAAGCGTGCAACAACGGTAACAACTCAAAAACAAAGAGGAATTAAAAAACTACCGGAGTAAAGACGACAGAGGTATGCGATGGCGACGGCGACGACAAAGGGTGATTGGTGCGCGGTGGTTTGCAGCACATGAGTTTCTGACTGCGCTTACGATTTCTGGTGAATGGTGGGAAAAACAATTGATAATTTTAGGAGAGTGGATCTTGCCTCTTGAGTTCCCTTTGAATGCATTGAGCCAAGAGATAATGAATGGTTCACATGGAAAATATAAAGTGATTTTTTACTTCTCAATGTAACCATGGAGCTGCTCTGCAAGTCTTCACAATTTGTCTTTCTAGATTCTAAAATGTACTTTAACGTGTAAAAAATAAAATAAAAAAACATAACAAAATGACACATCAGCAATATTAAATGTCAAACTCTAATATTGCAGCAATAATACAATTAGTTCTTAATAACCTTATATTTAAGTTAAATTAATAATTTAATCAAAAGGTAAAGATGAAATTTAGTGAAAAAATATTTTAATAATTAGATATTAGATTGAATGCATTGAATAATAGCTTAGACTTTTGCATGTGATGGCTAATGTTTTTGAATAAATAAACTTCTGAATCTAAAGGTCAATCTCCTTTATTATAGTCATGTTTGGCGCATGACTATGATTTGATGAAAACTATCTTAATTGCATATAAACTTCTTACATAAATCTCCAAAATGGTTAATCTAAGATTTCGCTTACTTCCAATCTTTAATTATATACTTTTCAAGCATTTTTTTCCCAATTGAAGAGCCCTTTCAAATTCTCTTATTTCAAGTATAATCAAGATTTTCTAAATTAAATTTTTAAATTTATTAAATAATTAATATATCTGATCTATCATATAATTTAGATATATTAGTTATTTAATTTTATTGGATTAATTAAACATAGTGTACTATAGCATAGAATATGATTTTTGGTCAGCATGCACCATATTATACGTCATTTTAAATTCCTTCTGTCTAGTACTAAGCCAAATAGAAAAGTCAAATAACATTAACATGTTCAAACCTTATTCAACACCTATAGTTTCCATCATTTTAATGACAATATCATATCTCGTGGACCCCAATCATAACACTTAACACATGATCACGTCTTGCACTTAACCTACCAGCAAACAAATCAAAGGTTCTCATCTCACAAACAACACCCTTAATTATTGTCCTACATTACTCATTGATTTTCCTAATTCAAATACTAGTAACTTTTGAAATTCTCATCATTATAGCTCTTATACTAATGGCTCCCATCACTTCTTTTTACATTTATGTTTGACAAACTAGTTTTTCTTTACAAAATAACACTATTAGCTTTAGAGTATTGTTGTTGAATGCTCTTAAGACGCCCTTAATAAAATTCATATGAAAAGTTTTTTATTTAAAATGTTAAATATTTTAATTTTAAATACCTTGACCAAAAATATATTTTTATCTATAATACTAAGAACACATACACTTTAGAGCTCAAATTTGATAATGACATTCAATATATATTTTTTTGTCAAATAATTTTTGTGGCTAAAATTTCACTTTCTAAAAGTGAATAAATAAAATATCGCGAAATTAAAAAATTGGTATAATTTTGTGTTAATGCACTATTTTATATACTTGACAAAAAATGCATTATTTTATATAAATTTTTATTATTTTATATATCTAAAGAGTGTTTTTAAGGCACTTGTCAACATTTACATTAGTTTTATTTTAAGTTTCATTAAATAAAATAATAAAACTTTTGATATGTTTCAAATTTAACTTGAATTTTAATAAACTTTATTTTCTTTTTAAATTTAGTTACAATTTTGATTCATCTATGTTACTTCATTTACAATTTTTTATTTATTTTGAACTCAAATAGTTTTGACCTCTTTTTAAAAAATTATTCCGAAAGTTGATAACAAATTTATTTTTTAATGACATGTAATTTATCTAATTTATTTTTGAAGATTTTCAAAGTTTATTTTTGCCTTTAAAATTAATGACATGTCAATTTGTTAATGATGTGTAATTTATATTTTTTGTCTTTAAAATTCTAAAAATGTTTTTATCTGATAATTTATTTTTAAAGTTTTTTTAAGTTTATTTTTGCGTTTAAAATTAACTACATGTCAATTTTTTAATAATGTGTAATTTATATATTTTTTTAATTCTAAAAATGTTTTAATATGATGATTTCTAATGTTTCACAAATAACAAATCATTTAAAAATAGATACTAGAAGTGTTCAAATTAAAAAACTGATCTAATAAAAGCAACCGTTTCAAAAAGTCGAAAACCAATAAAATAAAATAAAAATATTATTGAATGAGTTTGAATGTTGTTTTGTAAAAACGATTCGATTTTGAATTGAATTTAGGATTGATTTTTTAAATCTGATTCAAACTGAAATAAAGCTCATGTATATATTTTTATACTTAATTATTTTTATTAATATGATATATTGTGTTAAATTATTATTCAATGATACTTATTATTTTATTATTTATTTGTTAATTTTTTTTTATTATATCATTTGTTTCAATGAAAAATGAAGGGGATGGATTTTAAAGTGTTTGCAATATGCAACAATTTATGTGTTGGTAAAACGAAACCCCAACTACAAAGTTTTGGTCGGGAGAGGACCAAGTCAAGGGGACCCGTTGTCTTCATTTCTTTTTTTTGATAGCAGTAGAGGGTCTTGATTAAATGATAACAAAATTGTCTAAAAGAACCTCTTCGATGGATACCAATTTGAAAGTGGTGAGGTGAACATTTCACATATTCGGTATGCAAATGATACTATTGTAGTGGGTAAGAAAAGCTTGGAAAAGTATTTGAGCGATCAAGACAATTCTTCAATTATTTGAATTAGTGTTTGGACTGAAAGTGATTTTTTTTTTAAGAATTTACTAATAGGTGTTAACATTCATAAATCGTGGTTGGAGAAGGCAGTGGAGGTTTTAAATTGCAAAATGAGATGAATATCATTTAAATATTTGGGGTTTCCGGTTGGAAACAATCACCGGAGGGATGGAGAATGGAAATTGATGGTGAAGACAGTAAATAAGAGGTTGTCCGCATGAAGTAATAATCTCTTTTAATGGGTGGTTGTATTATTCTCTTAAAGCCTTGTGTTGTGCGCCTTACTGGTCTACTATCTTTCCTTTTTCAAGGCTTCGACAAGTATTGTTTCTAAATTAGAAATCATTTTTTTTAATATAAAAAATAATGTGGAGTGGGGGAATAGAAAGTAGAAAATTTAATTGGATTGGAAAAGGTGTGTCGTGAAAAGGAAAAAAGAGGATTGGGGATAAAAAAAAACTTTTGCCTTTAATTTGGCCTTGTTAGGGAAGTAGAAATGAAGGGTGTTAAATAAAAAAGATAGGTGTTGGACTAGAATCTTGAATTGTAAATACGAGGGGAACGCGAGTTGATGGTATAAGGTTGATACATTTAATTCTTTGTGGTAGAGAGATGTTCACTCTATGGATACATGGGTGGGAGAATTTAAGTCGCAATGGTTTGAGGATAAGTTATATAGAGATTGGTGATGGAGTAGACACTCTCTATTGAGAGAACCCTTGGGTTGGGGGAAAGAAGTTGAAGAATGTATATCGAGTTTATATAGATTAGTTGTAGAAAAATAAACACTTAAAGGAATTTTATTCAAATGATGGATGGGAGACAAGTGTGAAAAAATATATGGGTATGTACATTGGATGAGGAAAACAATAAATTAGAAGAGGAAATCATAGAAATGGTGGAAATAAACTACTTGAGGTTATATCGTGAAGGATAGGTGGAGATGGTCCAAAAACGAATATTCGATTAAAGAAGCGTATTTAGTGATTATGGATGAGATGGTATCTGAAGTTAATGAAGATAAGGTCTTCGTGGATGCTTGGAGTAAATTAGTTCCTTTAAAAGTTTCTGCTTTGGTCCAGAGAATGTGGTAAAACAAAATTTCAACTAGAGAAAATTTGATCAAAAGAGACATGTTGGATGCATCTCAAAATTCTTGCCTGTTTAACTATGGAAAGAAGAGAGTGATGAGCACTTGATATTCGAATGTCTGATAGCATATGTGACTTGGCGCGAGATTCTAATATAGTTGAACTTTTTTTTTTATATAATGCACAATTATGATATATCTAATTTTTATTAGGCAAAAATAGAGCACTCTAGAACATCAAAATTTAATCTAATTTGTTATCTGCATAAGGGTTTTTAGCCTAGGTGACCTATGTGTTGCTCTCATTAGATATACAAGAGGCAAATATGAATGGTGTTTGGCTTAAGTTTTGTTGCTATGGTGTTATTGATTCGAATTCTTAGTATGGAATAATTGTAAAAGGGTTGGTTATAACTGATTTCGTGTGATTTGGAGTTATTTAATGTAATTGATATAGCTTATATTAGTATGTTGTTCAACATTAAAATGACGATTTTAGTTTTAAAAAAAAGTTAACAAGATTGCCTAAAAAATGGATTAAGGATTTGTAATATACAAGCGTTTAATCCAGTGATTTTACAGCAATAGTGTTAGAAGTTGAGAGTGATTTATAGTAGGGACTTTGATATAAAGTTTTAACAAATAGTATGAAAATGATTTTTGTTTTTATCTATTAAAAATCATTTTTTGAATCAATTTAACAACAAAGTTTTGAAGAAAAAGATAAAAGAAAATATTTTCCTAACTCTATTTTTAAAATTATTTTAATGTTGTAAAATATGATAAATTTATCATTAATGAATAGTGTATATTTTTCTTTGTTGTTTTTATTTTCCAAAACAAAAATTAAAATCTCTAAAATTTATTTTAATTTTTTAGTCTTTAAAATTATGAAATAAAGAATAATAATTTTCAAAAATAATTTTATAAAATTAAGCTATCAAATAAATTTTATTATTTACAAATTTTAAAAATTAAAAACAGTTTTACAAATCAATTGATTTACTTATTAAATTTTAAAACGAGAGTTCTTTTAATTTGTGTTCTTAGGCACATATTAAAATGTTCAAAATAAAAATATTTTCCAAAAATTCTACTTCAAATGTTCAAATATTTAAATATTATATTACTTTTAATACAACTTTTATAAAAAGTGTTCCGCAAAAATTGACTGCGTGTAGCACATGAAGACCATAATGATGATGAAGAGCGTGACACCATCCTATCATCATCAACAATCATATTTTCTTAACAACAACGGTGTCGTTTCATTCAAGTTACAAATAATTAAACTAATTAACCACTAACTAAATATAATTATCAACCAATTTAAGTTAATTAATCAAATTTCAAATTAGTACAAAACCTTAATCATAAACACGCGTATATATAGCAGTATCCCCTACCATTTCTCAATCGTAAAATTCGAATCACAGAGAAAAAGAAAGAGACTTTTGAAGAATTCATCAATGGCAGTCAAACTTTACATCGTGTATCTTTCTTTACACTTTCTTTTACAACTAGCATTAATTTTTTTTATTAATATTTAATCTTTGTTAATCTCTGATTTCTGAAATGGATTTTTGAATTTCAATTCAGTTAAGATCTTGGAGTGTTTTGATTTTCTTTGATCCTTAGGGGAAAGAATTGTGCTGAATTTTTTATGAGTGATTATGATATTGCATTGCTTTTGGTGTGTTTGTTTGGCTTGTTCTGCATTTTGTTTGGCTTGTTCTGCATTTTGTTTGGTTTCGCGTTTGGATGTATAGATTTGATTTTGATATATTTGGTTTGGTTGCTCTAAGGAGAATTCCTAACTTTTGAATCTAAACGTGATTTTTAAACTGAAATTTACCGTTAAACTCACGTTTGTAGAAATTTATCCATACATGAATCACTTTAAGTTCAACTCAATTTTAGTCACAAATCAGAATCAATTAACTCAAAATCAATTTTCTTTACTGTATAACCAAGCACACCCTATATTCTCACAAAAAAAAGTTCTTGATCTTTCAAATATATGAATGTTTAGTTCAGCCATGAAATTTTTTGTGAAATGCTCTATTGACTTTGTCGAATTTCTCGGTAGCCTTACTTACTACGATATTTTTTGGTTTGACAGGTACTACTCAATGTATGGACATGTGGAGAAACTAGCAGAAGAAATAAAGAAAGGAGCTGCTTCTGTGGAAGGTGTTGAGGCCAAACTGTGGCAGGCATGTTTTTGTTTTACAAAATTTTACATTTCCTTGCTGCATTACATAGTTTGATGTCATAAGATTTTGCAAAATCAGTCCTTGAGCTATGGCTCGTCGTCGATACATAAACCCGTTAGTAATTGGTTTTGAGCTAAGTGTTATTGTTCCTGCCATACAACTGTTACATGGTTAGTTAAATGTTCTGTTGGCCAAGTTCCCTCCCTTGTTGTGATCATGGCCTTGTATGGATAAACAACTTAGTTAAGCACTTAAAGCATAAATGCTTATCATATAAGCTATTTCCATAACTAAAGGTAAAATAAAGTCTTGTTTTATATAAATAATTTTCTTAAGCTATTTTGGTGAGTTTATTGGAATAAGTTGAAAACAGCATTTGAGCATATGTTATAAGTTGTTTCTGTAAGCTCTCTCAAACAATCTCGTAAGTGTTCATGTCACTAGTTTAGCTCGAATAAACCAATCCAAACAGACCCTGTATCATGTTGCCTTTGAGCTTTAAGATAATTCTCTTTGCAACTTCTCAATGCCAATTTTATTTCAAAGATTTCTATATAACTGCGAAATTAAGGATGATCTCTTGCCTTTTATCTCCGATTAGTTCTGGTATTTTAGGTAATATAACTAATTCAATCTTGCAAAAATTTGAGAAGGAATGCTAATAGCTAACATTACTTAATCTGTGAACAGGTACCTGAGATACTGCCTGAGGATGTGCTTGGTAAGATGAGTGCACCACCCAAGAGCGATGTACCAATCATCACCCCAAATGAACTCGCTGAGGCTGATGGCTTTGTGTTTGGCTTTCCAACAAGATTTGGAATGATGGCTGCTCAATTCAAAGCTTTTCTAGACGGTACTGGTGGTTTATGGAGATCACAAAAGCTCGCAGGCAAGCCTGCCGGAATCTTCTACAGCACCGGTTCTCAAGGCGGAGGCCAAGAGACTACCGCGTAAGTGATCTGTCTCATTATTTGGTTTCTTAGATCCTACTCGAGTAAACAACTTATTTAAGTGTTTATATAATAAAAGCTCATATTCCGTAACATACGATGATACAATAAAAAAATCAAACTGTTTTCATATAAGTTTATCCGCTGTTGTCATAAGCTATCTTGAAATATTCATAGAAATAAGTAGAAAACAGTTTATATTCAATAAGCTCTTACAAGTGCTTATATCAGTAATCCAAACAGGCACTTACTCCATTACCTTATAACAAATAGTATTGTTTTAAAATTTGTGGAATCTTTTATTTTACAGGCTTACAGCTATTACTCAGCTGGTTCATCATGGAATGATATTTGTTCCAATTGGTTATACGTTTGGAGCCGGCATGTTCGAGATGGAGAAAGTGAAAGGTGGAAGTCCATATGGTGCAGGAACATATGCCGGAGACGGTTCAAGGCAGCCGAGTGAGCTTGAATTGGAACAAGCGTTCCATCAAGGGAAATATCTTGCCACCATCACAAAGAAACTCAAGGAAGCTGCATAATGTTGATTTCATATATTTAGACAATATACTACATATTAAACTACACCAGTATATTGCTTGAAAACCGTTACCTTTTACCATTTTTAGACTTGAAATTTTTTTTTTCTTCTCTCAATTTTCAGAAAGTATTTTATGTGTGTTACAGGATGCAGTGGATGTTTCAATTTGTTGAATGATAAAAGTTTGTTTGTCTTGTTTGTTCTTGTTAGGCTGGGAAAATACTTGTTCCTATCTTCTGTATTCCATTTATAAAACTTTAATTCCAATATTATATATTATCATTCTTAGTTTTTTTTAAGGGAAACTATTTCATTAAACAACCACAATGGGTCAACAGATTCCACAATTCTGAGGGTTTTCAAGCCAAGTCTTGGATCCAAACAGTTTGCCTAAACCAACAAGGTTATGAGCATCAACATTAAACAACCTACTTAAGTACATAATAGAATCATACTTAAAACTATCAAGCAACATTCTACAATCCACAACTAAGGGATCTAAAATAGCAATAGAACAATGAGAATCGATGCAGTCTACCACATTCCTGGCATCAGATTGGACATGATCTGATGGCTAAGATCTCAGCAATCACGGGATCAACTGTGATGAGTTCCTTTTGACTTGAAGCAATGACTTGAAAACGTAGCCAAAAGTCAGAAAAATCTTTCATCAAAGCAACCTGCATCCACTTGAAGTTGGACATTGAGTTCTTCCCATTGAACTCCACAACACTATCCAAAGCCTCATACCCTTTTTTGAAGGTTGGTTTTAGTTGATAAAATATTCTCTGTGAGCCTCCAGAGAATGTTTTTGATTCTAGGATGCAGATGAGAGTGCCAAAGTTTCTTCCAAAGATTCTAATAGGGGACACTGGAAGGTCTATGATTCTTATTCAACTTGTCTTGAAAGAGGATGTGATATGCATACCACATCATTAGGCCTGCGGAGAGAAAGAGGGATGACGAGGATTCAGTTTCCTCAACAGGATAAAAACAAGCCTGCACCAAATCCCTATTACAGCAACCAATTTCATGGTCAATCAGCTCGCTCACCTTGGCGTCATAACCCAAAACACGCACCTTGGAGACAAAAATCTCTTTTTTGATCTACCAAAGACAACCGGAAGGCCAAGGTACCTAGAATGGCAAGACACAGTCTTTACGCACATCCTGTTACGGATCATTTATCTATCTTCATCAAGAACATTTTGACTAAAAGACGCCTCTGACTTCTCCAAGTTAACCATTTGACCCGAGGATTCTTGGTACTTCCTAAGGATCTCCAAAACAAAATCAACTTCTTTTGAATTTGCACAAGCAAATAGCAAACTATTGTCGGCAAATAACAAATGAGTGATACTCAAAACCTTCATAGCCACTTGGATACCATGGATACGTTTTTTCTAACAAGCTACCTTCAACAAACATGAAAAAACATCAGCAGACATTTTTCCATAAAGAACTGTGTTGTGATTCCCATCCTTGAGCCAAGTTGCTCTTCTTTTCGGCCTTCAAATAGTCTCTTCCATTTGTAAGAGATTGTTCCTTTGACATTCGAGCACCTTTAAATTCTTCATATCCTCCTTGCTAGGTGACCACCTAATTTATACTTTTTGAAAGAATCATCCATCCTTTGAATAGCCTTCAGCTTTAGGTGCCATTAGTACTCATTCCAATTCCACAACTTCCTAACGGGATTTTCTCACCTGGAATCTCTCATCCAAATATCCTTAAATCTAAATTGTGATATCTCCTCCTGTTGATTTCCTCCATATTAGCTCAAGGTTAATCTAAATTAGAATTGTTAAAAAATATGATTAATTGAATGGAATATTTGAATTAAATTATATTTTATTATAAAAATATTGAACAACTTAAATGGTTAATATTAGCACTATTTAATTAAAACAATTTAAATTCAATTTAAAACTGATTCAGAATTAATTTTTTTATAAATTAATTTAATTATATAAATTAATTAATTTTTAATAAAAATAATAAAAAATTAATTGAAAAAATAGAAAATAAAATTAAAAATTTTAAAAAAATTAGAAAAATATATTTTTTATTTCCTTAAAAAAATTTTTTTTTCTTGAAACAAAAACTAATATCGATTTTGTCCAAAAAATTGATTTTTTCAAAAATACAAAACATCGATTTTTTTTTCGAAAATACAATAACTCGATTTTTTTTCAAAATTACCAAAAAAATAGAGTTTTTTTTTTTTTCGGAAATAAAAAAAATAGAGTTTTTTTTTCTTTCAGAAATATGAAAAAATTGAGTTTCTTTGAAAATATGAAAAAAGTCGATTTTTCTGGAAATGTGAAAATTTTGAGTTTTTTCGGAAATATGAAAAATTCGAGTTTTTTCAGAAATATAAAAAAAATAGTGTTTTTTCATAAATACAAAAAATTGAATATTTTCGGAAATATGAAAAAATTGAGTTTTTTTGAAAATATGAAAAAGTCGAGTTTTTTTCGAAAAAATGAAAAAATTGAGGTTTTTTTTGGAAATATAAAAAAAGTATAGTTTTCTTCGGAAATATAAAAAAGTCGAGTTTTTTTCGAAAATATGAAGAAATTGAGTTTTTTTTTAAAAAAATATGAAAAAAGTCGAGTTTTTTTTCGAAAATAAGAAAAATCGAGATTTTTTGGATATAGGAAATCAAATTTTTTGGAAAGACAGAAAATCGAATTTTTTTTTGAAAATACAACAAATCAATTTCCTTTTAGAAATATAGAAAATCGAGCTTTTGTGGAAATACAAAAAATCGAGTTTTTTTTTCAGAAATATGAAAAAAAATCAATTTTTTTTCGAAAATATAGAAAATCGATTGTTTTCCAAAGATACAAAAAATCAGATTTTTTAGAAACAAGAAAATTCGATTTTATTTTGAAAATACAAAATCTGAAAATAAAAAAAATTGAAAATATTTGTTTTCAATAAATTAAAAAAAATCTCAAGGAAATATTTTGAAAATATTTTTTTTTTCTAATATAAAAAATTTTAATTTTTGTGAAGTTAAAAAATTTGGTTTTAAAAGAGTTCAAAATATATAATTGGTTTAAAATTGTAAACTGATTATAAACTAGTTTATAAATATAAACTAGTTCTAAAGTAGTTTTAAATTGAATTAAACCATTTTAACCGTTACCTGAATTTTTATTGAAATGGTTATTGCAAACTGAACCAAACCATAGATGTGGTTCGGTTCAATGCAATTCATGAACCATGAACACCCCTAATTTAAATGGCAGCCTGAATCGATCCAAAGCGAGAAAGGTGGATAACCTTGATTGACAAGAAATTGTTTATAAAACTATTAGTTATTAATCCCCTATCAAGGCGACATTGGATGTTTTCTTCCTCCTGCTTACTGTTCGACTAAGTTAAGGGATATCCTTCGAAACCTAAATCAAATAAACCACACAACTCCATGTTTTGACGACTCCAAGACATTTGGCTATAAGTTCTGGAATTTCTTCCACTTTTTTCATTCTCAGCTAGCACATCATTGAAGTCCCCAAGACATATTACACAATCACCACTTTCCTGCACCATCTCTTTAACAAGTAACCAAGTTCTCCTTTTATGTTCTTCTTCCTGGAAGCCATTGAAGAACCGAGTCTGATCCTCGTAGTCCTCTAATACCGAAACACCAATATGATTGAAGGAGAAGGACATGATGTTTAAATTTAGGCTATTCTTCTAGAACAACGACATCCCTCTTGCTTTATCTTTCCTTGACCCATTGCACTCAACAGTATGACCATATTCGAAGCCACATTTAAACTGAATAATTTGCATTTCTTTTTTATTAAGGCATGTTTCCATGAGAAATACAATATTAGAATTTTCATAGTTATGAGAGGCTCGAACTGCATGGGGATTCTCTTACCTAATGCAATTCTAATTGAGGAGTTTCATTGAGGTAGGAGGTGTTGTATTTCCAACACCACATATGGTACATGAACTTTTTGTTCCCTTGAAGTCACATTATATTTCTCTTTTTTTCTCCACTTCCACAGTCTTTTGGGTTACCTTCAATGGTCATCACATTGACTAGTTTTCTTTTCCCACCTTCATCCTCTAAGAGTTTTAATTGAACTTGTTCTTCCTTCTTCCTGACTTTCCTCCTTGTCCATTTCTTATTGTTTACTAATGTACCTTTAGAAATTGGACCTTCCCATTTCACGGTATTAGAGATATCCATCGAACCTAAAGATTCCGCCATCGATTCTATTTCCAAAATTTTGTTTTGTTTGATTGCCTCCTTCAAACCTATAGTCTCTTAAGGAAGATTTCTGCTTGCTAAGTTTTGATCAACTTCCAGATCCCCTTATGTGAATAAAAGTTCTTCTTAACCCTGTTTATAGCTTTGACGAAGACGAACACATCAACATAAAGAAGACAAAGCTTGAAGTCTAGCACAATCAAGCTCAAATGATCATAAAGCTTTGGAAATTAAAGGAAATAATCAAGATGGTTAGAGTATGTATTACAATTTATATTATATATCTTAATGGCTCAGAATATATCATGCATATTCATCTAAAAACTTTTATGCATCTTTCATATGTTTTGGAACCTAACCATGTTGTTACAAAGATGTTTTCACATTTTCAAACAGCTGTAACCGGTTACACAAAACTTGTAACTGGTTATAGACACAAATTATTTTTAAATAGCTATATTTTATTGTTTAACACATAGAGTTGTAACCGGTTAACAAAAACCTGTAACTGTTTACAACCACTAAATTTTCAATTTTACTCTTAACAGTGCCATACCCTAAATTTTTCCCCACCTGAAATCATTCATCTACATTTTTTCTTATGACCAGTTTATCTGGTCCTAATACTTCATTTTCATGCATAGGTCAAGAACCAGAAATTAAAATTTAAAAGTATAATTTAGATTGTATGGTTTTCTCTTGAACAATTCATGCATCATGCATCATTTAGAGTTTTTTTATTACAAGTTTTGGCATCTTTGGTTGAG